ACACTCCAGTAAATTATTTATCTGTAGTGTTTTGTTACAAGGGCAAAGGGACAAAGGTGTGGGAGGACATGATGTTGCTGCAGAGCAGAACATGGAATTGCAAAAGATCTTTCTTCCACCCTCCCCTTGTCTTCTATTATGCAGAATTATTAAAAGGAGAAAATTGGCAGGGAATGGCTGTGGTAAGGTGCTGATTTTCTGTATCAGTACTGTTACTTTTCATCTTCAATTAAAATTAAGACAGAATGCCAGAGGCTCTTATAGCAAGGGGTTGGGAAAAGCTATGATGCATTTAAAAAGTATTTTGCTTTCAACAATCACTTTATTAACTAGTTCCAATGACGAAAGTGTTACCTAAACTTTGCAGTTGCCCCTGAAGCATATCAACTTGCAGCCCATCTTGCCCACCTTTATTGAGTCCTTTAAGAGGCTGTCTTGTTTCCCACACTGGCCTGGTAGGGGGAGTCTCTAAACCATGACGACTATTCCTACTTGGGCTTGGACTTGAGGCAACACTTGGTGAAGGAAGAGGCAGTGCCCGCTCAATGAAGGAGATAAATTCCAACCAGCTGAGGGAAAATACAGACAATTATCACATCAAATGGGGTTTAACAATAACATTGTTTATAAGCAGTTATAACACTTTATTCATCTAATAATATGTCTATCACCTACCTTACTCTTCCTGAGTTGTATCTGTCAAGCCTGTCAATTATTTTATCCAACAAGGAGTTGTGAAAAGGGATGTGATGACGCAAACAAATTGTCTTCAACTAAATGGAAAAAGGGAAACATTGTCAGTCTCTTGACACTCTGGCTGAGTATTTTACATTTATTCTATCCTTTGATATTTGACATACATGTAGTCATTGTGAGAATGAAATTTGAAAATTGGTCAAGTCTCATTCCTCTTCCTATAAACTATGCATGAAATACAACATAACCTGATCTTCAGACAAAAGACGCCAGACACCATCTGCATACTGCACTGAATCACAAATTACATTCTTCCCGTTAAACTATTGGGAGTTGGGAGACAAGTATCAAATATCACAACTAAGTCAAGATGGTTAGTTATTCATTCTTCCAGTATGCTGGTCTTCTGAAACCTGCTAATCTCAATTGCCAACTTCTATTTTATACTGTTTTTTACACTGTTGAGTATCTCTAGTTAAATCCTATAAGGCAAGAAACAGTTGTTTACAAAAAAATTAATGTTGTTTTTATCATACCTTCTGAGTAGATATGACCTCTGCTCTTGCCACATCCTGTTCTTCCAAAGCTCTCCTTAAAGTATGAATTTGTTCTTGTGCATTACCAACTTCCTTGAGCATTTCTTCAATTTGTAGCAAGATTGCAGTGTCTTGCTTATCTTGGAAAGCTTTTCTTACAGATATTGCACTCTGACGACCTTTCTGTGATTCATCAGCTCTAGGAGATACTTGATTTGGTTTTAATGGCAAGTTTTTTTCCCTGGGAGATTTAGCTGATATTTTCTCTTGTAGTCTGTCACCAGGATTTGATGTTAAATCCAGCTTGGGGACACGAAACTCTTTTGTAGCTGCTGGCTGAACAGCATTATTTAAAAACTTCAAAAGCTGTTCATAATTGACCCAATTTGGTCTATGAGCTGACATGAATAACGCTAATAATTCATTTAAAAGCTCTCCTCTCACTGGTATTTGTAGTCTAAAGAATTCTCTCTCAATCTGCTCTGCAGACACAAAACCTGACAAAGTCGAGTCAAAGCCCGCGAAGCTAAGATAGGCATCTTTAAGTCTCAAAGTGTCAAACCCTAACAAGACTGAATTCAATCTTGAAGCCAAAGACTTGGTCTTGCTTTCGTCATCTACACCCGAATTTAAAGACTTTTTTATCGGCGGTAAAACAGCATGAGAACTTGGCGAAGAAAATCTGTGAAGACCTTGTGCGGAGTTATGACTCCCGTCTTCAGGACTTTCCAGTGATTTTAAAAGTTTTCTTGGAGGTGTGTCGCCTCTGTTTACCCACGGAGGAACAGATGCCCTTGACGATACAGTGGGACTTGCACTTGACAAAGCTGAAGGACTCACCCTCTGTTGAGTTCCTGGTAGATGAGTGCTCCTTTCCTGCTTCAAGGGGTTTCCATATTTATCAACTTCGACTTCAACTCGTTTTCCACCCACAATTTTCACATCAAAGAAAGGCTGATCGTCTCGTCCAAACGGAGCAAGGCCGGCCATATTGGATGTCTTTAACCATACTGGATTTTTCCCGCAAACAAGTTCTTAGCAGTAAATAAAACCATAACTGCTTCATTCATTATTAACGAAAAAGATATGAAAACGTATATGTATAGATCACAGTAGTCTCTGGTGTCTGAGAAAATTAAAATTAAACAGTTTAGTTGCGTTGCTAAGGTGTAACGAGTGTTTTCATTTGGCTTACATAAGGTAGAGTTAGAAAACCAGTTCCATGCTCCAACTATTGCGGTTCGAGAGAGTCTGGGGAAGAGTATGGCGAGAAGCTTCAACCTGAAAACGAAAGTAGCAACTCATGACGATCGCGAGAGTAGTGTTCTGAATTTTGGTCGAATTTGGTAGATAAAATTTTCATTGCAAAACAGCGAACGATTTGAGTAAGTAATTATGGCAAAGGCAAATGCATGTTTGATGAAGTTATTCAATATCTGTAAGAATGATTTTTAAAACAATTTCAACCCTCATACTGTCCATCACGTTTGCCAGTGGTTAGCAAACCTTCGCTAGGTTCATTTGCACGGTTAAATCGAAAGAAAAGCTAAGACATATGAATAGACATTTTCGTTGATCTTCTTTCTCTTAAAAAGGGGCATGGTAACCGGTGATCTTTCCCAGTATATCTCTTTTCCTTTATAATAATATAAGAAAAAAAGACTCGATGTCGGAGTTCCTCACAGGTTTGATACTTCAGTACTGTTTTGACCCACTAAATACAACTTGGATGCCGTTTTTTGAAGCTATACGTATTCTCTGGCTTAATCGATAGGAACTTAGGAACCATCCTTCTCTTTTTATTTAATTATCTACAGGCAACAGATTATCAGCTGCTCCTATGGCTGAATGTGACACAAACATTCCTCGAAGGGAGGACGATATTCAGGAAGTATTGAGATCTTTGCGCGCAAGGATAACGGACTATTTTGAGGCCTGTCATCCAACACATCGACCGGATTTCGAATACAAACTTAAAGAAATAGGTGACTGGGTAAGAAAACAAAAGGAGAGTGAGAAAGAAAAATCAAGGCAAATTTATATCGAAAATATGGGTAAAGTTATCGTAGCTTCCGTAGACACCCTAGGCAAGTTTGGAAGTAGGAGCACTCATGCAGCTTACAAGGGAGTATTGGAGTTCAAGTCCAGTTTGACTGTATTGAAAGGCGAGCCGCATGGACCTGTATTTAAAGTGCTGTGTTGCATCCTTAGTGCTGCTCTCACCGTCAACAAGCCAAATGAACCAAGTGTTGTGGCAAAATTGGCAGAAGTAGTTCACAGCGAATTGACTCTCTTCAACAGAAAATATCAGGACCAGAAGTACAATGGTCTCAAATGACGTGTTTCAGATCAGATCTATCAGCTTCAGTCAATGCAGCCTGGAGAGAAACTTGATGATGACAATCTATGGAATGATAACGTTCAGTTTTTGGGTGAGTTGGCCAACAGGTTTGAGTCACCGCTTCCTTTTAAATATGAAGATAGCGTGGCGGAAGATCCTGATGTGGCAGATTGCGTGACAGCCTTGGTCACGTATTGCGAAGCTTATGGCTGTTTCATGGCTCTTCTGTTAGCTGCCAAGGGAAAATATGTTCAGTTTGGAAGCGAGTATAAAGAGAATGAAGAGGTCGTGAATCGAAAGATAAGCTGTCAAAGAAGGGATGCAAAAGGAAAACTTTCTTTTCTGTCAGATGTGAGGTGTTTGACATTCCTCAGAAGTCTTCCCTACCAGGGTGGAAAATTGACCAAGATTTTGGCTTTAAGCAGAAACCTTCGCGGTAAGAGCTTGGTAGAGACAGTCAGAGGCAGCTTGGCTTTGACGCCAATCCAAAGTCTTGACACGGTGGAATCTGCTGCGAGGAAAGTGTCTCGCCAGTTAGTGAAAGTAAAAGTAGAAGGGCATCAAATTCACACTGGAAATTGGCTGAGACGTCATGTTTTGACAGCTTTTGGGCCGTCATTTTACGCTCATTTCATCAACGAGACGAACTTCCCCATGAAAATTGTTTCAGGAAGATTCGGTCAGAATAAAGGTAACCTTGAGTTTGTCCAGGTTGTTCAGCCTCATGCATCTCATCCACAGAGAGCGGTTTCCTTTACTGATTTTTTGGGAACGGGTTTCTCTACTGGAGGCTACATCACTCTTTATCTGAATGGAATCGTAAGCCCAGATATGGCACCACCCGCAGACGATGTTAGGGTTATGGAGTTTGCTTTATCGCTGGGACTCTTGCCACCCATTTTCAATCGCAAGATCATTAACATTGAGGACAAAACAAGCAATGAATTTACAGGTGGTAAAGACACTCACAAGAAAATGAATTCTAGCGAAACCGAGACTTTGTACTGGTTTGATAAAGGAACACACTTCATGGCAAGAGGAGAGATTGTAACTCAATATTTCATAATAGATATTTGGCGTTTTATTATCCAGGAGTTCGATCCTTTAACTGAAGAAGATTAAACACGCAGTTTCACTTCTTAGCCTACAAGCTTTTACATTATGTTCATGACCCAAGTGGCGCCATTTTGTACTCGTATATGCCTATCCCGTGTGAAGGTGTATTCTACGTTCATTTTGATAATTTTGGTTTGGATTGCGCTAAGCCGTAGAACTGTTGCACCGGTGGTTCTGCTTTTTGAGACATGTACTCTGTAGTTTCTGAAACACTAGTAAATGTCGGCTTCCTTTGACCAGATGTTCACCTGGAAAGTTGCTCATATGTGGACCAAGTTAGTCAAATTGTGTAGCATATACCCTTGATCAACGCCGAATCCGTCCCCTCTTATCACCACAACCTGGCTGTGGGTCGCTATATTGTGACCAAGTGCCGTAGTAAGCTAGGATTAAATAATGAAGCATATATTTGACTGTAAATGACTAGTGTCCTTGAATAAATTATCCTATCAATCTATATACTTAACCGCCAGAGACAAACATTACTGACATTTATGTTTACAAATATACCTCTTGGAAACTATTTTTAAGACAAATTGCTTTTTTAATTAGTTTGACCGCTTATAACATTTTTAATAATGCGTTCTACATTTGATTTGTTTGCATGTGACTTACCTCAGTGCTTTCCTGTATTATCAATTTCCCGTAACAGTGGGGTTGCTAATATTGATGGCTACTGGTGGAAACTAGCTGTAGAGGACGTTAGGTAATGAATAAAAGAAAGGAAAATTGTGGATTGAAACTTATACTGGTTTTGTTCATCGGGAAATTTACCATCATGGGGGCTACTCGGGCTTGCAAACATGACACCATTTCAAATATAGCCATGCACACCGAGTAGTGGGGTGTGGTGTAGCAGAAAATTTCAAAACCTTGAGGCTTTAAAGCCTAAAACTAAGGTAGCAAACCCTGGGAGAAAATTAAAAAGGTTACTCAGATCAACCGGAAAAAAAAATATGTCATCGTGTGATTTCATTTTCACATTAATGGTCAGAGGTGGTAAAAAAAATCAATCAATCAGTCTCCGCACGCACTTGAGACTTAAACTAAAGAACAAATTACACCCCTGGAGTTGTAAGGTAGCAAGGCTTGGGAACAAATCAATAACAAATTAGACTAAAATGAAAATAAAAATTACAGTCGTTTGATTTTATTGTCACAATAATTGTCAGACGTGGTAAGTACAATTGATGTCAGCACTTGAGAATTTAATTAGGGAACAGATTACACCCCTGGAGTTGTTTGTAGAAATTTTGGATTTTTTCCAAAACGGACTACTATAAAGGAAAGGCAGCAGAATATTACTAGACAAAACAATGTTTTGAAAGACTATTACTTAATTGTAATGGTCATGATACTCCTTCATAAGTAGTTGCTTTTTTTCCCTTTAACTAACCGGTTGAGTTAAGGTTGATGAAAGAGAAAGATTTCATCAATGGAATTTAGCGTGTGTAGTGGTTGGGTTTCCCTTGCTTTGGATTTATGTTTACTTATTTGGAAGCCGCAGAGCAGTCAGTCCAAATGGGGTGGATGTGGCAATTAATTGGAAAAGTGTCATTCCTTGTAATGTATCAGGTGGAAGGACTCAAAAAGTGACAGAAATAGTTTCATTACAAAATTACTATTTTCCTAAGACCGGATGAACTCTTGAAATACCATTCATTCTTCGATCACCTAATAAAAGTAACAATTCGATTTGAAAACTCAGTGGGTATTCTGAGGAGGAGGCTCAGTGAAGCAATGATTGCTAGAATAATTCTCCTGCAGTGTTTTCTGGCCCTGAATGTTGTGCGAGTTCTCGGCTATGGTTATTCTTGGAAAGAGTGCACATGGAAGAGAGAGGATCCAAAAGATAAAGGCATCATATGGGTCAGTTGATCTACATTATCGTTTGTTAGCAAAGAGGCCTCTTCTTCAATGTGCTACTAAAACCATTTTGCTCATACTATCGAAGCAGAAAAAAAGCAGCCGAAAACGAAAAAAAAACAATGTCATCCTTGTTGGTTTTACCTCAGAGTCTTCCTCCATTTTCTTCTTCTACGAATAATTGAAGAAAAGTAGAGGAGTAAAGATTTATTTGTAAACTGACGCACTGGAAATTCTGTTGAGGGACTAACGGATAAGGCCAACGGATTTCAATTTGTACCTTTTCTTAAGTATCATTTTGAAAGGTTGTGGGAAAGTTTGAAGAATTAATCTTAGACACTGGTGCACTCTGACAGGTATTGTAGTATTTCTGACCTTCATGTGCATGTTTAGGCAAGCTGGATGTTTGATCGATTGCTCTCTTAACAGGCCTGTGAGTTCCAGAAACAAGTCAGTAACACAGCCCTTCGTGTATACTATTCTGGAAATATCAGAATCTCTGGATGTCATCACTGTTGTAATCGGTGGTATTTCACATTTAACGGTGTCGAGTGCAGTACTCCTGGGCCAATAGAAGGCGCTCTGTACCAGGCCCACGCCGGAAATCTCAACAGTCACGTGCACGGTCACATTGAAGGTCACTGCCATAACGTACAGGAGGGAGGGGTGAAAGTAGAAGTAAGAATCGGTCCTTGCCTTGGCACAGGGATACCATTGGGGAATGGTCACACAGGCTTTGCCACATTGTCAAGAATCTTTATTGAAGAGGTGACATTGTATGCAACATAACATTAACCTGTCAGCTGATGCTAACTTCCGAGTATTCAAGCCCCGCCCATTATCGAAGGTTTTAAGATGATGGATTTAGGACAAACAGCCCTTTGTATTATTGCTCTGTTAGTTAAGCAATAAAAGCCTTCATAAGGGGAAAATACGTGTTGTTTCTTTTCATTTTATACCTCACACCATACTATTAGACAATACCAAATGAGCGGTCAAGAGTAGCAGTTGAAACGGTTATCGTCAGGAGTGTGCAATAATAGTGTTTGGAATAGAAGTACAGACTTTTAAAAGAAATAAGTGAGAAGTTAGCTCGGCCAGTTACACTCAGTGCAAGGGTTGTCTCAGATACCCGAGATATGCAGTGAGTCCTTAGATTACATCTCCACTTATTTCGTCGTCATCAAGCTGTAACGTCCCCAGTCAAAGTTAACTGAGCTAGAGGTACTTTGCTGTAAAGAGGTTTCACTTACTAACTTACTTACTTTAGGATGAAGGAAGAACGGATGAATATAAATGATATATATTAAACACAGAAACGATATATGTTGATTTGCTAAGTCGCCAGAGTGCAAAATCAGTGCAGGTTTATTCAAACTGGAACACTAACTTCAATTAATTGATCCTCCTGAAAACTTGAATGATTTAAAATTAATTTGCGCTCGAAAACCCGCCTGCCTTTTGGCAATATGTATGTTGGTGTAAGGAAGAAAGGGTATGTACAATTCTATCTATAACTTATGGCTGTTGTCGATATTTCCTTTGCTGCGAGACATGCTTCTATAAGTGCACACAGAGCTACTTAATTTGATCCATCCTAGTTGTTATGTGTTCGCTCGTGAAGTATTCGCGTCACTGGTAGAAGTTTCAATGACAAGTTTTATTTTGTTGTTTTCATTTCCATCCATGAAAGGTTTCCATGAACAGTACAGGGCCTCTGAAGCCAGCTCGTCGCTAGAAAAAAAGAAACAAATGAAAATAACTGTTATCAGCTGTAACTCAGCAAGGCCCTGTACAGCCTCTGTGGCTTATAAAGCCATGTTTTGTTTATTTATTTACTGATATATTCACTTCTTAGTTATTCATGTAACTTGCAGGCAGAAGTACAATGATATCATGTACATACAATGGTACAAGATCCTAGGATTGATTTTGCAGTTAATCGTGAAGAAACTGTAGAAGATTACAAATTTAGGCTCTGTCACCTTATATCCGAGGTAGAACTTGAATATGACAGACGATTTCAATAACCAAATCGTTAAACCTTTGCTTTAAAGTGAGGCAGAGTTTAGCGAACTCATGAACTCCCAGCCAGGCAGGGAAGCAGTCAAGATCTGAGGACCTCGATGGAGAATCGATGATTGTTTTATGTTGGTTTAGACTTATTTCTGGTATCATAACTATAGATCCACGGGTGGGTCTTAAAAATATGTTGAAAATAATTGGGAAATAGTTGGATGTTACGCGAATACCTAAGTTTAGTTGTCATGGTTGCCAAACATCACTTTCGATGTATCTCTTGATTTCAGGTCTCTGTAATCTTTTTTTCTAAAATATCGAATACTGCGCACATTAACGAATGTAATGAGTTCATGTATGGCTGCATGGGTAAAGTACTCAAGCTTGAGAAGGTGTCCGATACATGAATACGCTTCACCAAGGTGGAGTGAAGACTTCTGCTGTGTGTATTATATTTTCCATTGTCTCTTATGTAGCAAATGCTTTACTGTGTTTCAACAGTTTACTGAAAAAGGGACTTACTGAAGACAAATGACTGCCATTTCTTCTTGAAATCCCTTTTTCATCTTTTTTATTCTAAAATGAGATAAAATATACGCATGATTAACGTTCTTTCGTGCCTCTTTATTTTGGGGGAAGTATTAGAGAGAACGAAAACACAATTGAAATATGATTACATAAGAATAACATATGAAACACAAAACATCAAATAATAAAATATAAAAATGTTTCAAAGTAAAAGTTATCAGCTTTTATTTTTCTAGAGGCTCTTCAAATTTGGACTTTGCTCACCAAAACTAATTGAACAGAATTGAATAGTTTAGTGTTATTGAAAACAATGGCGGTAGGAAAAGTTCTATATCGATAATAAATCATATGAATTCTAAACCATTGACTGAAATAACGACAACAACAATCCTTGTTGTAGTCTTATCTGCCTAAACTACACGTAATTACAATAGCTGGAATAACCAGGAGTTGCCAGAGCCGGGCAGATTTTAAGGCAAAATAAATTGGTTTTATCAGCTTAGTTGATAATGTAAATTGGTTACCGTAAAGAGTTTTTAAAACTGACGTTACGAGCGTCAGCCCTTCACCAGAGCCCCTCTGACGACGGGCTAACGCTCAAATCGTCAGCTAAAGGAATGGACTCTTTACGGTGACAAATTTACATTATCACCACAGCTGATAAAACTAAATTACTTTGTAATGCCCCCCACCGATGCAGCACCACGGATTTTAGAGATTTTACAGCAAGTTTCGTGTCTCACCTTTTCCAGCGAACAAAGAATACAGCTGCAGCGACTCCTACAGCTAATAAACAAAATCCTAACGAGAGAGACACAGCCAATATTGTACTTGATGAGCTTTCGTGTGCTTTATTTGCTTGTGCGTTTGCTTCTACGATACTAGTTGTGGTTCTGCTCTTGGTGCCTTCAGTAGTTTCTGTTGCCTGAAGGAGTTCCCCATTAGTTGTGGCTGTTGTCGTGGGAAAAATATTTGTTGTTTTGATTGTTGTTAGATCAAATAGTTCAGTTGGGGCGGAACTTGGTGAAATTGTACTATCAGTTGTTGTAGCGTTAGACTGCGGACGATGCACTGGTGTTGTGTTGCTTGTTAATGATTCCTTGTCTAAAAAGGAAAAATAAATATTCAGACCAGGAGAGCAAGGCTCTGTCATCTAATTCCGTGAACCCCCCAGGATCTGAATAGTAATTCTCTCTTCTGGTTGTAATACGTTCCATTGCAAATTAGTCAAGAGAAATTGTAGTTTTATCAAGGTGAGATCGTCCTGCCGATGCTGGATCATCACTTGTTAAAAGGATAATGTATTGAAAACAGAAGAAGAAGTGGTATGAAAGTCAACTCTGGGGGTTCAAGCGTGAAATGGTTTACAGCCTGAGCAGGGTGTAGATGATATCATGTTAATGAATTTTATAATGAAGACTAAGAGGGATTAGTAGAACCCCTGAAGTATCAGTTGATGGAAAAGAACACGATGTAAATGGATGATTAATATTGCTTGACACGCTATGGTCAAAAACTGTCGAAAAGTTCTAAACATTATTTTAACGATGAAATCCTCACTTTTCTCTATTTTGAGGGTAGAAGTTCTGCTATAAGGGAATGCGTTTTTGATCGCTGAGTCCTCTTCAAATGGGTTGAGGAATACCCCTGCTGCGAGAGATGTCATGAATCATGATTTTCAATGTTTCACGAATCACGAAAAATATATTAAAAATTTTACGATTCGGAATGCATTTCTATCATGATACACAGAAAGTTTCCTAAACAAAACAAAGATTCATGGAGAGCAAATATAGAAAATAGGAAGCCAAGAATAAGCTTGGCTGATTACAGACCAAAATAGTTTTCATGCCAGAAACAGTAAGCCATTAGATCAGGACTGACTCTCGAACATATTACAATAAAAACTAATGAGCTGCTGTCTGTGTATTTTTCGAATCATGAAAGCTTCTATTGTGAATGAACATTGAATAGGTTATGCCTCGTCATGCCAGTCGTTTTTGAAAAAAAAATTGGCGAAAAATTTGTGGATGCGTGACTTGAATTACGCCCGGAATGCATCAATATATGGAAATGTACGTCATTGATACCAGTATTAACGTGTCTGAACTGTGTTTTGGCGATGGCTAATACAACAGGACTTCAAACATGCATGTTACATAGTCCATAAGACAGCCACCGACATAGATAGATCAGAAATGGTCTCAGTCGAAATAGACCCAACACTGACACAAATGAATTACGCAACTGTTACGACCATAACAAGAACTTAGCGTAACACGGTGATAAATCAGTAGCGAGTGCAAAAAGACAATTATAGGCTTGTCGCTCGCTCTATTTCGATAAATTTCAGTAATGAAGCATCAAAAGATGATTTCCTTTTGTGAAAAAACAATAATTCGGAGACATTAATCGATGGTTTTAAGAATCGAATCAAAGGTATTATATGTGGGGACATCCCGATAGTTGAGTACGGAGTAATTAAAAACAAATTAATGTTGGTGTAATCTGGTTTAGCTGGCCTCAACATTACAACACGGCTTAGAAGCGTCTTGTTCTTACCTGACGTATTTGTGCTGTTTATGAGGGGTTTTAGCGACTGCGACGAAGCGCAAAACATTGACATCAACATGATGGCGGTCAAAATGTCGGAATGTTTATGCAGCAACATCTTCTGCAACATCTTGACCAACTGCCAAGGAAGGAACAGTCGAATTTCGTGTCTCGTTCAGCGGTTTACAAGATGCCAATATATGACGCTGCAGATCGGCGCAAATACTGTACTCTGTAGCGCGCAAGCAAAGACTGATATCAATGCCCGTAGATAGCAGTCATGACTTACTGGTGACAGTAGCCGCACACATCCCTTTTGATCGCGGCTGTCAGCGTCTTTCTAACATACCAAAAGTCAACTGATATCAAGTTTACCTCCATTTGACCGTAAGGCCAATTTTTTGGCACACTTTCTGGTTTCAGCTTTCTGTCTTTTGTGTCAATTCTGCTCTGTTATGACAACATCCTGTTACCTGACCCCGTTGGATTTGACGTAGTTGCACGCGATATACGCCCTAAATACTTGAGGGTGAAACACCGGATGATCATCGGCAGGATCTGAAATGACGTTGTTGAACAGACCGGGTGATGTAATTCTCTATTGGAACAGAGTATATTGAAAATGTGTTCCTATGCGGACCTGGTGAGTTTATTTGGGATAAAAATTTTTGTGGAAAAAAGTGTTCAGGATTAATGATGGCAAACTTCGATAAGCTTCGCGCAGAACTCTGGTATTCAGGGTGTTGAGACTCCAACGACACTTACTTTGAACTTAGCACAGAGAACGACTTGTGACACGCGAAAGAAGTGACAGATTTGAAGACTGGGTCGTTATGCTGTGGATTTACAACGTTACTCCAGGGCTCCTTGTGGATTTATAGGATGGAGTGATAATTCAAATGATTTTATTAACTATCGTCCCTGATCTTCCAGTGAACCCCACCTTGGCCCCATCCCGTTACCCATAAAAAAGGGCGCCTATTTCAATGCCCTAGGCTCTCCCCCAAGTTTCTTTGAAGATTTGTACCTCTAGTTAGATTCCCTAACATTAATAGCGATATTAATCCATTAGTAGTGATGTTACAAGTGGAGATGAGTCTAAAGGAACCCTAATTTGCCCTGGAGGGTATACGGCATAATAAGCTGTTAGTAAATATACGGTACCCCCTAGAGGTATTTCACAATTACATAAACAAATGCGACCCTCCCACAACCTCCTCTCCGTCTGAAGTCCTGTTGGACATCAGGGCGAATTTTTTTGCCTAAACAAAATCGGACTTGTCAAAACAAACAATTTTCCCGGATTTATCGCTGGTCGAGACCCAAGTTGTAAAACAAAACGATCTTGATGCAATATTTACGTGGATTTAAGTTACTGTATCGTGTCAGCCTTCTCTTTCAGGTGAGTAGTTCACCGTCCTACTTGCGGAGATCCAAATGCGTAAGTTGTATGATACCTACATTCGTCTTTTGGAGAACAGATCGTGTGATTTTCGTACAATCGCACTGCATAAGCTTGTGCGTGTGCGGCCACTGGCAGGTCAAAGTTTAGTTCATTACGGAGTCTTCTAATTCATTAATTCAATGTGCTTAATCACCTAGGAAGTCGCCACAATTTGGCACTCCCCTCGTTCTACCACGTAAAAGTGAAAAACGATACAGAAAGTGGCTGTTTATTATTTTTTTTTTTGATTGGCCGGAACTTGTTATACGACCCTTCTCTCTTACAGTAATCTCTCAGCTATTCCTCTAGGCCAATTGCAACTCCTGTACTATGAACACAAGATAACATTTATTAGGTGTATGACTTCCTGTGGTGCCCTTTATCTTTCTATCCCTTAGGGGAGGGGACTGGTGGTGTTCACCGGATTCACAGCTTTAAGGGGAAAGTGTCTTTATTGGATGACATCGATAAAATGATAAACCTCACTGTGCATAGACAAGTAGTACAATGGACATGAATTGTGCAATAAGTGAAGTGATAAAATGGGGCAACATGAGAAATTTAGTCCAGGCATAATAATATCAACAGATTGGTCTAACAATATTCAGGGGGGTACTTCCTAGTAATAGTCTCATGGGTATGTGCAGCTGGATTGGGTTGTATATTCATGACTGAATTGAGTATAAAAGGGTTACATTTTCCACAGAGTTACTTGAATGGGGTCACATTTTCCAGCTTTAGGGGAAAAGAAAACTCTAGAAAATAGGAATTTAATTATGGGAAGACTTGTGGTTTTGTTGTTTTGATATATAATAATCAGCTCGCAATACAAGATGACCTGTAAGAGGTGTTATCATGAGGTAGATGCACAAACAGGAATTGACTAAGTTGGGATAAAAAAATTACATTAGCCCAAAACTGACTATGATGAGGTCTATAACTCGCCACAGAAGAGACTATTAAGAAGAGGTTCTGAATAATCAGCAATTGGCCTGAGTATTCCCCCCCTTTCTTGGGAAATATAAGACCTGCATAAATATATGGGTAATAGCAATCCTTTTTAATCAATTGAATAACTTTTAAAAAATCTGTTTCATGTTTTTGGTGGGATGAACCTATTCTTACCTAACATAAACACAGAGAACGTGCCATTGTCTCTGAGAACTCCAATCTTGTTTTGTTCAGTGAACCATTTTGTGTTTGTTTTAATTTATTTTTCTTTATAGTATTACTTTCTTAGCTGACTGATCCCTGAGAGTGACCAGCATTGAATTTCTCCCTATATTATCACCCTTTAACCAAGTGTAAAGGTCATGAGAATAATGGAAATTATCACCAATGAAAGAAGCTCTTGATTGTTTAGCGCCTTGATTGTGTGAGCACCTCAGGAAATTTATAGAGAACTGCAATGAGAATATGCATACTGATATTGGGGTGTACAGGGTCAAGAGTTTCTTCACCACTCTCTATATAAACTTGCAACATAATTTTTTTTACTCAGAGAATTTGACCATGATGCTCATGACAATGATTGTGCAGAGCAATTTTTTGTGTCCTTTGTAACTTGTAGCAAGCAACCAAATGGAACAAGCAGCTATAAACCCAGACAGCATTCAGCGTCTTATATCAATGGCCAGACTGGAGACCCCAAGGATGAGATCAAGGACAATGGAAGGTCTTCAGATTTTTACTTGAAACCTGCTGCCTTATGTGGATGACATCACCATTAGAAACAGATCAGGTCAGAGGATGGCATAAGAGTAAAAACAAAGAATGGGCTGACAATGAACAGCCATTAGGTTGGCAAAATACCTGCCTTGTAAAGAACAAGCAAATTTTCAAATGGCTGGGCTTAGGTTGAACCCTTTAGACCCAGTGCTGCATTTTTATATCTCATTATCATCACTCTCAGCAAACTTTCATGATTTCAATTTAATGTAAAGAAAGAATTTTGATTTTAGTGAAAAAATTCTTTCCCTCAGCTGTTTCCAAGAATCATAATTTTTGTCTTATCTTCCTGCAGATATTTCAACATACTTGCTAGATGAACAAGAATTCTTAAGCTTTAAAAAGAAGACATTCAGAAAAACTCAGATGCCTCTGCTATACTTTTGTTTTATATGAATTGCCTAAGATGACAATTACAAGAGCATAAAATGAAATTTAAAGAAAGTAGAGGTACAAAGTGAGATAATGGACATTTACATGGATTTGTCATTTTTATTACACACAGATGTAACATGTATAAGACATTTGACTCAGGTTTGCAAAAGGTTGTTGTCACAAATAGCAATAAAAGTGTCACTTTTGAATTATTTGTGGCATTTGGTTGAATGAAACTTGTAAATATATACAAAGGCAGACCTAGGCCTTTTACAGCTGTTGTGTTGTTTTCAGTAAGTACTGAGACCCTACATCCTACTTCCATGTTCAAAACTGTTGATTAATAATAGGGAAAGATAACAATATTTTAGGTGGACCATCGTGGGAAGAAATGAAGACTGTCGGGGGGGAGGGTTTGAGTGCAGAGTTCAGTGACCAGAGGTAAGGGTCCAACCAATCTTTTATGATGATAATTTACAGAAGAGAGAGACAAAGAAATAAAAAAAAATGAAAATAAATTGGATTACAACCTTCAGCCATGGAAGAGGTTTAATAACCCTCAATAATCGTTATTGCTACCACTATAACCCGCCAACTTCCTCTGCGAGTTGGTGCTTTAAATATGTATCACGTTTCCATTCGATTGAAACATAATTTCTCAGTTCGAATCAAGTTAAACTCGATGATTATTGGGGCTTAAATCAAACGCCCAGAAGTTGGTTGGAATTTTCATGCCTTGCAATCTTGAAAATGAAGAACACTCTGACAAAAGCTCAGAGGAAAAGTCAAAAGTTAATCATTGATTATGAGTTTGACATCAGTTCTTTGAACTGATTCATCACGTACGATTTGACCTCGGGTGAAAAACGAAAACAGCTACGGACGGATGTTATTAGGAACATATATTTTTATTTTTTAACAGTTCCCGTGGATAGCAACATCCTTGATTAAGAGATCAGTATGCTTCCGTGAATGATAACACGTCTGATCACTCTGTTACGCTGTTTGAGAGGGTCGGTAACATCTGACAGCGTTCGTCGTTGAGGACATTGTTTCATTGTGCTATTAACTCGGAATATCCTCAAATCAAAGTTTCTTTCAATTTGTCTATCTTGTCCCGTGACTAGTGAGATCTTTCGAGATCTTGGATGGACCAAAAAATACAGTACTACCGGCGAGAGCGTCAGCTTGCATAAATAGTCAACTTAGCCCTGTTTTTTCACGGCTTGATTCGTAGAATACTTTTCTACATCTCTCTGGTCCTGCACTACATTGCTATCACTCAACGGGAATATTTCTTTGTTATTGTCTCTCTGGCCGCGGGTGGGATCTTGAATGGCACAGAGATACGATGGCCCACAACTTTCACAGCAAGAACAAATACCTCACTTAAAAACCCAAATGCCCACGACAAAGCCAAAAGACTCTCGGCAAAACCAAAGGCCTTTTAGTTTTGCCGTGAACTTTTTCCTGTTTGGTTTTGCCGTGAGATATTTGTTATTGCCATGGCGGTTGTGAGCCAACGAACAGAAAACACTTCAAGCCCGAGAAACAGCAGGTGTATAAAATGAAGTTAGGTCAAATGGTTTAAATAAAATTTAGCTAACTTCATATCACGTTCAAGCTGTCCCTTCAGCTTGTAGTAATTCCTAACTCATTTAAGATCTTACCTGCCAGAGGGACAAGATCAAAGTGCATGATTTACTCTCCACGTTTTATTCTGAACATGTAAGGCAAATAAAAATGTCTTTGTGTTTTACATGAACGTCGCCTGACTGTTTGCAAATCGCAAATTATGTCATTGGAATAGTCCGACAAATTCCGCGAAAACCGCCCGATCCCAAAATTTGTTTCTAGTACTTTTCGGTTGTCCTCCGGCATAAAGGCATAACTCCGAGAATGATTCTGACGTGACACATTATTATAAGCCTTTCACAAAAAAATCGACTATTTGCATATTGAAAAAAACGATTTCGACTCCAATATACTTGCCTTCTGCTGAGTTTCTTACAGCCGTATAGTTATAGGGCGGTAAGGTCAAGCGGTAGGTAACACAAAATGAAATTCGTTGCAATGATAATTCTGAGAAACTGAAAGACGATGACGCGGCAGAAATACGCTGTTCTTCAGTCTCTTCATCCATTTCGCCGGGAAAAGCCGTTAATCAGTTAACCGTGCAGTAACCTCAGTCTGGATATAATGTTGTGGCGGTCGTTATGTTTAATAACAACTCTTTACAGCCTAGAATCATCAGGTATGCTAGCTGCATGATCGCTCTTAGAGGACCACACTGTTGTGAAGTGATATTCGCGAAGATCGTTCGAAGTATTGAAAGCAAACATTGAGCGTGACTTGCTGTTTCTAGATCCTTTAAGAATCCTCCCCGGACTTAAAGACAAGTACTTACTTCGAAATTAGGTAACTCAAGGTAACCAAAACACTGTGGCAAACTGGATCTAAGTGAAGTAGGTTGTTTACCTTTCATAGGTGTCCTGTTGGATCATGTTGTGTCTTGGTATAAGGGGCTGGAGGGTTGTTTTTAAGTACAATGCTAAATTCGCATTTAGTGCTTTTCATTGACTCATTAGCGTTTTGTCAAAACTTCCTGCTTTTCCTGCCTGAAATAATGGTAAATTTTGGATAAATGAGTACTAGTTTAGAATTCAATTGCAGTGATCTATTTACGGTCGCATTCTCGGAAAACTGTGCGACATGATAAGAATTTCTTTCACTGTAAGGAGAAATCGAACTTAATTCTTCTTCGTTGGTATCCGAAAGTTGAACTTATCTCTAATGCTTTTATTCTGCAAACGAAAATTAGTTGTATGCTGTAGACACTGTTCTACATTCATCGATTCATCCTGATGGGCTTATTCAGGCGTGGCGTAGCGTTACAATATAATCTAGATGGCGTGTTATGAATTCCACCTCATTTTTGGGTTATTCAAGATATATCAGTGCGATGTGACTTCTACC